TAAAAATAATGTATAAAATATAAAAATAATATATAAAATATAAAATAATATATAAAATATAAAATATAAAATAGGAAATATAAAAATTTATATATTATATAGAAAAATAAAAATAATATATAAAATAGAAAATAATATATAAAATATAAAAATAATATATAAAATATAAAATATTATATAAGATATAAAATATAAAATAGGAAATATAAAAATTTTTATATTATATAGAAAAATAAAAATAATATATAAAATACAAAATAATATATAAAATATAAAAATAATATATAAAATATAAAATAAAATATAAAATATAAAATATAAAATAGGAACTATAAAATGTTTATATATTATATAGAAAAATAAAAATAATATATAAAATATAAAATAATATATAAAATATAAAATACAAAATATTAAAAAAAATATATAAAATATAGTATAGTGAGCACCTGAGGGTAATTACTCAGAAATCACTTCTGCTAATTGCGAAGGGGAAGGTGCGTCCCAAACACACCCTCTCACTTCTCTCCCGGCTGAGAAGAGTCTCCCGACCAAACGCAGCAGCCCCGGCAGCGCCCATAAAGCCCCGGGTGAGGGCGGTGGGTCCCGGATCCCGCCGCTGGCCGGGAGCTCCTACAATTCCCATCGTGCTCCCGGTCCGCGCTGACATCACCCGCTCCAAGGCTGAGAGGGGCCGGCAGCGAGGGGACCCGAAATGTGAGCTCCGCGTTCCTTCCCCTTCTGAGGATTTTTTTTTTTTTTTGGTGGGGGGGAGTGAAGGAGGATTTCAGCTGCCGCCGAGGACTTGGAGAGGGCGCCTGGATGAGAATAAACCCCCCCCCTGGGTAGAGCCGCTCCGGGCGGGAATTCCGCGCCGTTTCTCGCAGTGCCGCTGCAGCTCCGAGCCTCCCGCCCCTGTGCCAGCGCCGCTGCTTCGCCTCCGGGGGGCCGGTTCCTTGCCCCAAATCCCCCTTGTCTTCCTTGTCCTGCCGCTCCAAGGGGTGGAGGAGAGACGCTTCCCCACAGCCTGGCAACAGTGTGCGCGTAGTAACTGAGGCTGGAGTGTAACTATGTTGGAGTAACTGGCGCATTCCAGCGCCAGCTCCCGCTTCCCGGCGCCGCGCAGGGAATGGCTGGGGGGGAGCAGCTGCGCAGGTTTGGTCTCGGGGGAAGTTGGTTCTCGCCGCGGGTTTGTTCTCCGGGAGAGAGGCTGGGGGGGTAGCCTGGAGCGATGCTGGGATTTCGGGGGATTTCTGCGCCGTAATGTTGGCTTTGGGTTGCTGCGGGTTAAAATAAGAGTCGTGACTTGCTCGCCTGAGAGTTGCTCAGCCTTTCAAGTGATTCTGTGGTTGCGGGTGCCTGAAAAACCCCGTAGTTCTCTAAACACAAACGTCTCTTGCTGTTGGCGACCGGAGTTCCCTAAGGAGGCTTAAAAAGTGGATGGGGAACGTGGGAATACCTGATGTCAGTCTTTTCTCTAAGAAACACAGTAACTTCTCAGGCAGGTAATAGATCCTCTTTTACTTTTCTTTAGAAAGAGTTCAGATCTTTGAGGACACCTATTAGTACTTGAACATCACTAAGAGAGCAGCCGGTCAAGTGGGAAAAGTGGCTTTATATCCAATCTCAGGAGTCTAATGAAATTAAAATACAAATCTCTATGTGTTGTGTGCCCTGATCCTCACGCAGCTGGTGAAAAAAAAGTTCTAATTATTTGGCCTCGCGTGCCAGTTTGTAACTTCTAAGAGTGTGGTTTTTACACACTCATTGATGGATAACTTCGGCATTTTCGTTTGTTTGAGGTATGTTTTGAAAGGCGTTTTGGTTTGGTGGAGTTTGAACTGTGCTGGGTTGTCCATCTGTCACAGTGAATCTGGAAAAGTATTTTGTGACTTCAGTTGGAATTTCACATCCCTAAACAAAAAGGTTTATATTAGTGCCAGTAATCCTGTTTCACAGCACAGGACAGAATCTACGAATCATGTACTTAAGGTGCCTTTGGATTAGTTGACTTTAAAGTGAGTGGAAGTTCAGTGAAAACTCTCTACCTGTTTGTTTAGTATCCCCTTGTGTTTCCCTGGACTGCCAGGAGATAATGGAGTGTGACACGTGGTAGGAGTTGTGAGTGAAGGTGAATATATAGAGGGAGCTGGCATTAAGTTCTCTTATGTCCTTGGAACCTGGAAGAAAATATAAAATCATCTGAAACTCCAGAGTAAGGGCTTCAGTCATTTTTCCATGTAAAAGTACTTGGGAATAGTGGAACTTGAGTGTTTGGAGTACTCGTGGCTCTGGACCACAGTTTTAGTGTGCAGAACTATAAAAATCTATCATTAAAAACAGTATCAGTAACTTTTTAAACAGTTCAGATGAATTGCAGAGCAGGGCTTTGTTTCTAAACTACCCACTGGCAAATTAGTCCCTTTTTTTTTTCCTTTCTTCAATAAAGCAAGAAGTGGGGAGGCTGCAAATTTGAATTTCTGAAATGACTGATTTTGGGCAGACTGAAGTTGTGATAATTGCACAGATCCACAGTTCCCAGTGGATAAATCTGCATCCTAAGTGCTTACTCTGTTTAATTTCTTGTCATTGTAATTTAAGGTTTTAATATAGATGTTGCAGAAATGCTCTGTTTTTTTGGGATTTTCTTCTGGCTTGGGAAAAAGAACCTCACAGAGGTACCAGTATACTACTCCAGGGATGGAATCAGGGAGCAGATTGGAATCTCTTTCCACAACAAACTTTCTGCCACTTTAGCATCGTAAAGACAAACCTAAATATAAACCAAAAAAAAGGTGTATGAAGGAGAAATGTGGATCTTGAGGCTTGACAGCAGTTTTCCCACATAACCTGATTCTGGAACTTGCAAAGGAGTGTGGGTGGAAGTTTTTAGGCCTTCTTTATGATCTTTCTAAAACACTGAGGTATTGTTTAAAATCACTTTTTTTTTTTTTAATTAATCTGGAGAATTAGATGCACCACAGCTCATGGAATTGCAAACTTTTGGCTTAGATATTTTGAAGATTGTGGGAAGTGTGTGTGTGTCCATGTGTATACAGGGGAAATGTTACCCCTTTTAACCCAGGTTTGGGATATGTGGGTCAGGAGGCACCAGAATCAGTGGGGTGACCCTACAGGTGCTGTTTATAAGGTTCATTTGAAGTTTCTGGTGTTAATTTTAAAGTACTGATGGGAAGGTGAGTGGCCATTGCACTCCTAAGATTAGGAGGATTGTGTTTCTTTGGGATGTGTTGTCAAGGAATGTTGTTCCCCCAGTGAGCTTTGAGCCATCCATCAGACTCAGTGCTGCTTATCCTGTCACAGGGTGAGCTGGACACCTTTGGGATGAGTAGGGAAGGACTTGAAGATTTCCAGGGAGACTGAGAGGGTGTGGTAAGGAAACTGTTGCTGTCACAATGAACTTGGGATAGGGAATGAGCATCATCTGATGGCCTTTCATCCTATTTCCCTGCTGATGGAGCACTTGTGGTGGTGTGCTGTGGGCATTGCTCTTTTTGCTTAGAGTTCTTTTTGAGCACTGTCAGAAGAAAATAAACTTAAAACCATTTGTAAGTTCAGGACATGATATTAAAGCACTCAGTGAAAACATTTTTGTTTAATTTGTCAGTGTAACAATGCAAGCTGGCAGTGCTGCTTTTGCTAAAACATTGGCTTCTGCCAAAGCTTTAATGTGACACCCTCATATCCTGAAGGTACCACACGGGGGCCTTTTCAGGAATTAATTATTTATGAGTAGTGCAAGAAGCTTGTGCTTGTATCAACCCCTAAAAACAAAGTGGCAGCCACAGACAGTTACCATTGAAAATCCACTTTTCTGAAGGAGGGTGTGATGACCAGACCTGTTTTGAACACCTGGGTACGTTTTTGACTTTGTTGGGACTCTTTTGTAGGTTGTGAAGCCAAATTGCAGCACCTGCAATGTTTTGGAGGTTTCCCATGATTTCAAGTAGTTCCTGTTTAGAGATATCAATGGATTGCCGTTTGGGCTTTCAGGTGTCAGTTAGTGCTTTGTGAAACTCAATTAAAATCATTAAACCCACTTTAAAAGTGAGAATAGGTCATCCACAGTGGGATGTGGGTGTAGTCTGACATCATCCTATTACTTTAGGACAGGAGCAGGTGCTTGGTCAGGTGTTGAGGATTTATCATAATGTGATTGTTGCACACTTTATCTTAATTTATCTTAATGATAAAAGCAGCTTTTTCCCCCAGCCAAAGCTTTATGCCAGTGAAGATGAAGCCTTACTTTTGTGTAGTGCATTGATTGCTGACCTGGGGCATTGTTTTGCTGTGATTTAGGTTGGAAAGGACCTCTGAGATCATCAAGCCCAATTCTTACCCCTGCACTGCCCTGTTCACCACTAAACCATGTCCCCAGGTGCCACATCCAAAAGCCTTCTGAACATTTCCAGGGATGGTGATTCCACCACTTCCTTGGGCAGCCCCTTCCAATGCTTGGCCACCATTCCAGTGAAGAAATTTTCCTAATATCCAAACTGAACCTTCCCTGGCACAATTTGAGGCCGTTTCCTCTCACCCTGTTGCTAATTACTTGGGAGCAGAACCTGACTCCCCTGGTTCCCCCCTCCTGTCAGGGAGTTGCAGAGCCAGAAGGTCCCCCCTGAGCCTCCTTTTCTCCAGGCTGAGCCCCCCCAGCTCCCTCAGCTGCTCCTGCTGCTCCAGCCCCTTCCCAGCTCCCTTCCCTTCCCTGCACATGCCCCAGCCCCTCAATGTCGGTGTTGTCCCGAGGAGCTGTGCTTGCATGCCACCTGGATTTGGATGACAGTGTGTGTGGCAGGAGCCAGCCTGGCCTCTGCCATGGACAGACCCTGAGTCTGAAGATGGGGTGGAGCCCTTAAGGTGCTGCATTCCCAAATATCTGCATTCCCAGATGTCCTGTCATGTGATGGGGACGTGGAGCTGCAGGATGGACCTTGATCCGACAGGATAAAGGTGGAGAGAGCAGAGGTGTCAGGCCGTAGCCCTCTGCCTGCATGATCCTTGGTGCTGCTGTCCTGCCCATTCCAGGGCTCCCTGTGACTTGTGGTCAGCAGCTCTGTCCCTGCTGAGCTCTTGTGTCCTGTGGGATCTCACAGAAATAAATCATCATTGCTCCACCAGTGCGTTGGGTGTGGGTGGACCTGGAGGAGCTGTGGCTCTGTGACTTGGGAGAGATGCTGGGAGGAGCCATGAGGGGAAGCTAGAGATGAGTTTCATGCATAAGTACGACTTTGGCAGAGCTGGTAATTGCTTTTTTTTCTTGTAATTGCTTTTAAACAGGCTGAGCCAGTCCATAAGGATCTAAATTTCAGCTTGCACAGCAATGCTGCACATTGCAGAGAGGAGAAGCTGCGTGCTGATAACAAGGACGTGGTCAAAGTGCCACCCCTGCTCGTTGCAAGCCACAGGTGAGTCCAAAAAATGAATTTGCTTAGGTGAACAGAAAGAAAAACTGAGGTGATGTGTTTGTTTCGTAGTGAATAACCACATAGCAAAAAATTCCTCGACACCTGAAGGGATTGTTACGTCACAAATGGAGCAATTTCACTGGGTCAGGACAGGGGAGGGATCCTCTTTTCATGGAATTCAGCAGATCCTCACACACACTCCTCTTCTCAAAGGCATTTGTGAGACTTACCACAAGAACAACTGCTGGAAGTTACTCTGAACCAAAAAAAAAAACAACAACCAAACCCCAAACTTTGTATTGAATGAATATTTTTAGATGCTTTTGTTAAAACAGATGGCCCATTAGTGCTCTTAATGGTAACTAGGCAATAGATCCCTTATATTGAACAAGCATCTCGTAAATATACTTAGTCCTTCACTTCTTTAAATGGTGCTTTTTTTATGGGCTTTTGCCCCAACTGCCTAAGAGGTGTTTCAGACTTGATTCTTTCTCCTCGGGGAAAAAAGCTTCTTAGTTCTTTGACTACTAAAAAGGAACGTTTCCCTTTGCTGCTGCAAAAAACCTTTTTGATCACGTGAAACTGGGATTTAGAAGGAAGTCTTCAGTGATCTGCCATTTTTATGGGTTTATCTCTGACATTGGGAGGTATCTGAATAACTGACCTATTTTTCTCCCCTGAGTTTGGTTTTTTTACATGTCCCTGTTGCCTGTTTACTTCTGCTGGTTCATTTCCTGGGTAACCCAAGAAAGCAATGTATGGAATTCTGATTTTTTTTCCCTTATTTTACCCAGTAGTTTCAGAGAATTACTAGCAGCACGTCATGAGTTCACCAGTCCCAGTGTGCTATAGATTAAGAAGGCTGTAGGTAGGAGCTCTTAGAAATCTTAAAAAACCAAACAAACCAAAACAAAAAAAACCCAACCAAACAAAAAAAACACCAAAACACCAAAACCCAACCCCAAACAGTGCTTTTTCTTATGTTTTCTTTTTCTTGGTGAGGTACAGCGGAAATAAACAGGAAATATTTATCCTGCCAAGAAATCAGAGCAGAACACACAATGTAAATGTAACCACACTGTGCAGTGCTGTTGTTTAATGTTGTTACCAGAGATGTTTATAAAAGCATCGTTGAGCAATGCTCTGTAGCAGGGAGTTCCTGCAGTTTTGGGATAACTGGCTGTAAAAAGGCTTTTTGCTAATTTAGCCTGAATGCATTTTGGAAAATCAGGAACTTTGTCAGGTGGGTCTTTGTGTCAATGAAAGTAACTTCTAATTGTATAATGAAGCAAATATTTAGCTGTGATTACATCATTTTTCAGCTTATAACATATCCTTTCAAAGAACTGTTAGTCTGATATGAGCCATAAACTGCTCTTACCTCTAAACAGGAATAAATTCTTCCCTGTGAGGGTGGTGAGGCCCTGGCACAGGTTGCCCAGAGAAGCTGTGGCTGCCCCTGGATCCTTGGAAGTGTCCAAGGCCAGGCTGGATGGGGCTTGGGATAGTGGAAGGTGTCCCTGCCCATGGCAGGGGTTGAAATGAGATGCTCCTTAAGGTCCCTTCCAACCCAAACTACTCTGGTTTCCATGAGGTTCCCCAGATCTAAGTAACAGTGGCATCACTTAGTAGTCTCTATGAAAATTCCTAAAGCTCCTTCCAGTCTGCCTGAGGGGAGCCTTTGGTGCCCTCTCAGCAGCCATCTCACAAGAGCAGTTGCAGCCTTGAACTGTTTCCAGGACTTTGCTGGACAGGACTAGAAACAAAACATTTCCAGTAATGAGAAACAAAACATGAGCCTCCTGCTGTATCCACAGAGCTGAGAAACCTTCAGACAGAGGATTTGCACAAGATGTAAATCAGTTTTTAGCTTTTTGGAAAACGAAGAGCTTGTTCACGTGGGACTTTGTCAATGGAAGTGATTTCCTCCTATATTTATCCCACCTCAGGCAGTGCTGGTGAGGCAGAAACCTCTGTGTGGAGGATTTGTCTCCTCTCTGTGGCAGAGGGTCCTGTGGGGGGACACTGGCACTGCTGTGTGTCTTCTGTCCTGTTCATCCTTGGCACTGCACAAGGTCCTGAACAACCTGCTCTGTGGCAGGGCATTGACTCCAAAGGTCCTTTCCAACAGCAGCTGTTCCCAGATGTCTGCCATGCAGGATTCTCTGTTCCAAATACAAGTGACAGGACGTTTATCATGTCCCTTACTGAGATCTGTAGGTCCATCTGCCTCTGGGTGCCTGGCAGCTGTTCTAGTTTGGTAGGACTGGGGTCTGGAGGGAATGGACTGGGCAGGAGGAGCAGTGGGGGAGTAACAGCTCTGCTCAAGGTGCAGGAGCAGTGAATCCATCTGTGTAACAGCAGCAAATCCTTGGGATAACGAGGAAGCACAAAGGAGCCACGTGACAAACAGTGAGTTGGTGTGGAACACTGGACTTGTGGAATCCCAGGATGGTTTGGGTTGGAAGGGACCTTAAACCTCTTCCAGTTCCCACCCTCTGTCATGGGCAGGGACACCTTCCACCAGCCCAGGGTGCTCCAAGCCCCATCCAACCTGGTCTTGGACACTTCCAGGGATCCAGGGGCAGCCACAGCTTCTCTGGGCAACCTGTGCCAGGGCCTCCCCACCCTCCCAGGGAACAATTTCTTCTTTAATCTAAATCTCTCCTTTTTCACGTCACAGATACAACAGTGTTGTTGTCTAATAGCTTTGATTCTTTTTAGTTTCATACACATTTATACTTGAAATATTTAACATTACACTGACAAAGAAAGTTCTCCTCGTTTATTTCTCCTCAAGCAAAAGAAACTTTGAGACAGTTTCTAAATGCTAAAGAGCTGCCTGATGCTTTTGGAAATAGTGACTGTATTTGGTAAATATTTGTGTTTGCTCACTCCTCTGTTGTGATGAGCTGCTTGCAGAGGTTGAAAGCCCCCTGTGTACATTTGAAGATGTGACTAATAAAGGTTGGATGTCTCAGGAAAAAGTGTGTCCAGTTTCGTAGCAAGAAGAGTTCAGTACATGCACACTTTTATTTTTCAGGAGCAAACAGAAGCTGTGTCTTGTTATGCTTCGAAAGGGGGAAAAAAAAAAGTCCATCCTGATAATCTTACCTGGGCTTTAGATGTGGGGTTTTTTTATTATTGTTTTGAGAGATAATTTAGTGAGAGCAGCAGCTTTCCCAGGATTTTCAGGGTGGAAAGGATAAAATAAAAGCCCTGCTGAAGACTGTAATTGTCATAATTTGATTTTTTTTTTTAATTTTTTTTTTCGAGGCAACGTTTTGTTTGTTGTGGTTTTTTTAATAATGCTGAAATTCTGAGCGTGTTTTTACTGTAACTTGTTATTAGTTTTCCTGTAAATCCCAGAGGAGAACTTGTGTTTAACTGGGTGGAAGGACAAGCTCTGCTGTTTTGGGAGTACCAAGGCTGTATCTCGGGTACACGAAGTACCTCGTCTCCTGATCTTTAGACACACTGTCCTGCACAACTCACATTAGCAGTGATTAATGGCTCTGAAAATAAAAGATAAACCCATTCCTTACAGATCCTATTTTTAATCCATGCAGGAATATTTTATACCCTCACCAAGGAGCAGAATTTATCTCTGTGTGTTGCTCCCTTTTAGTCTAAACAAGACCAGGGCTCGGGCATTGGCCTGTGGTTGTTGATGCTGATAAATTTTTCCTGGAATTTCAGCCTTGGTGTCAGCTACTGCTTTCCTAAATGTTACTTTTGTGGGGTTCAGGAGTCATTTGGAGCACAAAATGTGGGTCCCACCCTCCTCTTCTTCTGCGGGACCAGAATCGACCTGTGTGACTCGAGCTCTGTGGTGCCATTTGGTCCCTGGGCCAGGAAGTCCTTATTTTCTGTTCTTTAATGGTATAAATTGATATAAAATGATATAAATATGGACAGTGTGTTTGCATGGAATTTTGCAGAGTATTTGTGCAGCCTCTACGAGGTTCTAGTACCTCTAATTCTGTTATTTTTATAGGGATTTGTTTGGATGTGTAAGACCAGTTTATAGAAAGTGATGACCCCTCAGTGTAAACTTTTTTTCATTCAAAAAATTCCCTAAAGGATTGTTTTGCCTGTGGCAGGAACACATCTGGCCAGGGAATATTTCTTCACTACCTCTTCAAACAATACCCAGGGAGATCTTCCCAGACCATGAAAGCTTCCACTAAACCAAGGTTTGACCAATGATTTGTAGTAAGCAAAAAAAAAAAAGCTCCTAAATTCACAGAATTCCAGGTTGGAAGCGACCTCAACTCTCATCTGCTCCAACCTTTCTTGGCATAAATAACATTTGAATAAATAATTTATTTGTAATAATTCTGGAGCAGCACTTAAAGCCAAGTTACTGTTTTTTACGCACGGGTTGCTCTGTGGAGTTTACAGATGTCCCTCCCTGCTGTCCTCTTTGTTGGAATAATTCCTGTGTTCAGGGATATAAGTGGGATAATTGCCCTTCCCTTTGTTTCCCTTTGTTTTCCAGAGGGGATGTGTTTGCCTGTGCCATGTGCATTCCCAGCCATATAGAACAGAAGATTCTGAGCTCGTGAACACGACACCTCAACACCTACAATGTGAAATCTGTGGAGAATTCCTGTTATTCTGTAGTAAGTAATTTTTGTGATTTACATATTTATTTTTAGAAGACACACACGTTTTTAGAAGACAAACAGAGCTTTGAACTAATTTAAGGCAAGGGAGGGAATGTGATTTAGACTTTATCCTTTTATCACAGCGGTGCTTCGTTTTCCTAAACAATTATTTAGTTCAAGAAATAAAAGTAAGGCTTTGCTGTGTTGCCTTTGCTGCTCATTTACAGAAATGTACAATAATAATAAAAATATTCCCTTCTCTTTCCAACACAGGTAAATAGCAAGAACCCAACAATGGACACTCAGTTATTTTCCCCATTATTGGGAGCAGTTCCCAATACCCCCCCATCCCTGGAATCTTCCCGGCTGTGCAGCGACTGGTTGGGATGTGGGGAGGAGATTGCCTCAAAAACTGCTTTTCAGGACTGCACAAAGAAAAGGTATGAGCATTCCTGCTGGGATCTGGAATGCTGGGATTGTTATGGAGCAGAACAAACGGGATTCCGGGTCTTTTTTGAGGCAGAGTTCATGGGATAACTAAAAACTCAATGAGTTTTCTTTGCTGTGTTAAAATTATTATAGAGGTCGTGGGGGAAAAATAAAGGTGTGTGTACAGATGTGTGTTTACCTGTAAAAGCATCTGAAAATTTGGAAAGAATACCACATTTAGGGAACAAAATGGGGAAACTCCTGTATGCCACTGAAAACTCCTTAAGGAAAATCTCAACTCACTCTCAGTGCCTCCCACCCCTCAGTGCCACAGATCGTGATTTCATGCTTGATAATGCAGATTATTTCCTGGAACATGAAGAGTGTTAGAAACAAGTCAAGTGTAAGTGGTACCTGTGCTGCTGGAAGCATAAATATGGTACCAGCTCCTCCTGAAAATATATCAGTCCACTGGCTTGTTGTGCCCTTGATATAATACACTCAAGCTTGATTTTTTGTTAAAAACAATCATTTTGCACTTCTGGATGTGGAATGAATGCAAAAGGTCTTTGGTACTTGAATCATGAAACATTTTTATGGAGAAGTTTACTCTGCCCAAGTCCAGCTGTTGGTGTTGGAGGCTCTTCTGGTCCACCAACTTAATGCAGTGAAATTATTAATGGTGCAGAGAAGGCTGGACAGGGGTTTGAAAGCTTCCCTGGGAGTGGAGAGCAAATAAAACTCCTTTTTGGGGTTTTTTGGGTTGGTTTTTTTTTTCCTCTCCAGAGGAATTATTTCTATAAAATCATGGGTGAGGATTACAAGGAACAGGGAATAATGGCAGTAACTAGTGGACAGCAATTAAAATTGTCACATTGAAACTATTCCAGCCTCAGAAATGCATAAACAATGTTTTTTATATTGGGCTTCCCCCTCTCTCTCCTTTCCATCTTTATGCCAAATGATGGCAATATGATATTGCTTTTTTGGGGGGTTGGTTGGTGCAGACTGGCACAGCAGCTTTTGGCACTTTGGTGATGCCTTTCTAGTGAGTATTTCTAGTACCTCACTGCTTTTTTTTTTTTTTAATCATTTTCCTAATAAGATGAAATTTGAGATGGGGAGAAAGAGGAGTCCACTAGTTCACAAGGTGCTGAAAGGTAACAATTAAGGAAGACACATATAATGCAGAAAAGCTATTTTTTTTTCCAGTCTTCCCTGGAAAGTGTCACAGTTTAAACTTTAAGTGTTAGGTTTAAGCACAGTGACAATCCTCTGATTAAAATATTCAATATTTTCTTAAAGGCAGCCTTTAGATTATTGCAAGGTAGCTTTTTTTAAAAAACAAAAAGTGGAATTGAATAAATTAAATACTACTTGTCTGTTAGTGATAATCCATGTCTACACCCATTCTGAGTGTGCAGATACTCAGTGTTCCTTGAGGTCTCCTTTAAGAAAAATAGAAAAAGAGAGAAGTTTGCTATTTCTCACAAAGACACAGAAGAGATTCTCATCAAATAAAGGTTTTATGTTTATAAGACACTTTCAAGAGTCTTTGCACTTCTGTATGTCTTAAATAAAATCACTCAGACCAGATCCCTTACAGAGGGAACTGAGTAGTCATGACATAAGAGGTAGGTAAATTCAAAATATGGTGAGTATTTAAAAGCCAGTAAGGAATAAGTGGCTTATTTTTACTGTAGCAAGAGATTAACAAAGTGATTGTCTTAATAGTTTATCCCACATTTTATGGTCTCTGTTAATCAGCAAAATTAGTGAGTAATTATGTGGCAGCATTAGCAGTAGTTTGGATGAGCTGACACCAGGGAAGACTGGGAGACCTTCAGGGACACTGAGAGGGATCAGCTGAGCCACAAGAAGCTTGTGAATGAACTTTATTAAAGCAAAACAATGTGTGTCACAGGGAAGGAGATCTTACAGTGTTATGTTTTTATTAATTTCTGAGTAAGGGGCAGGTGTCAGCACAGGCAGCTCCTAAAGAACTCATTTTGCACCTGAGGTAAAACTTGGGCTTGTGTAAGACTGGTGATGGCTGAACACCTCTGGTGTTTATCATAACTTTAGTAAATATTCCTGATAAAGTTATTTCTAACGTGGCATTAAAAAGTGGTTCAACTTAAGTATAACTTCTTTTTTTTTTTTTTTTGAGATTAAAATAATAGTTTTTGAATTGCAGGAGTAGATAAATTACAATTCCCAAGACTTTGAGAAGGTTGATCATATTTATCCTCTCAACAAGACAGTCAAGGTTTGACGGAATGTCTGTGAAATAGTTGTTTCTTGGAAAGAGGGGAAAATCTCTTGCTGCTCCAGTCTCTTCACCTGACAGCTTGGGAAGTCTCTGGTGAAAAAAGAAATCAAGGAAATTGTTCTACTCCTCTTAGGCTGTAGAATTCACAGATACAGGAAAAGATTTCTGTGTGTGGATGCTGAGAGTACATTAAATTCAAATTTCAAACTAGCTGATGCTGCTAGAATAAATTAAAGGTTTTATCCTTTGCTTTTCCTTTTGCTTGATTTGTTTAGGATAAAAGAACCCCCTTATTTGTCTAAGCTTTTATTTATTTGTTTGTTTGTTTTCAGGGCACCAATAAATCTTTCTTATTCTGGCAATGGCCCTGATATGTTTGGGCTGGTGTCAAGCATTTTGGAGGAGCCAAACAAGCCTGAACCAGTTACAGATTGGTAAGTTTGTTCTGAAAGCTCTTAAAATTTCTGTGTTGTTTTTTATGCCCATTGTCACATAGATGTGATACCCATTTTTAATTATTTCAGAGTTCAGTAATGAAGGTCTTATGAATTCCCTTAAAATGTGGAAGTGTTTTTACTTGCCAGTAAAAAAAAAAAAAAGGCAATAAACTGTTAGAAATGCAAATTTTCCAAAGTCTTCCATCAGCTTTACAGCATTTGGGGAGGGAAAGAATATGATTAATTTTAACCAGTGGGGAGTTGACTGAATGCAGGGGAATATAAAATATTTAATAAATCCAAATAAGCTCTGCAGTTCTGAATATATGTATTATAAACAGCAGAGAACACTGTTGCTAGTCAGATTTCACAGACTCCATTTCCTCAACTGCAGTGGGAATATTCCTCTCCTTTATTTTTTTTCTTGAGGAGAGCTGGGGATGGTTGGTCAACAATGTAATGGGAAAGATGTGTAGTGGAGGGGAATAACCATGGTGTGTAATGTAAGAAATGTTTAAAGTAAATAAATGAAATAAATAAATAAAGATAAAATGTTTAACTCTGCTACAGGAATTCTCTTTCAAGGTTGTTTCCCCCCATGTGGGCGCCTGACCTGGGAAGCAACGGGGGGTTCCCAGCCAAGCACCCTTTGGAAAGCAGGGATTTCCCAAGCCTGGTGGGGAGGACACAGAGCTGCCACCAGGAGCAGCTGCAGAAGCCTCCTGATGTGGAGATGTTGCCCAGAGGTTTGGAAGATCTCCAGCTCATCGAGTCTTGGCTTTCTCCACCCGGCCCTCGCCCTCAGCCCGACGGTGTCCTGAGCAACAGCTTCCCTGAAAATTCCTCCTTGCAAAATAACAATAACAACAGGATTCCCCAGGAAGGGTTTTCATTTCACGGGGTGAACTTTGATCAGCATTTGTGCAGCTACGACCACGTGAGGCTCAATGGAGACCATGAAAAATTCGGCTCCAATTTTGGCCCTTTTTCTTCTCAGAGCAGGCTGAAAGAAGGCACTAATGCTCAGAAGGAGTACTGGAAGAGTGAAAGGGCAAGAGGAAAAGCCCTGAAAAATTATGCTCAAGAACAAACTAAGTGTTCCCCTGATCTTTCCAAGCAGCCCTTTGATAACTCTTGGGATAAAGTATCCCAGGACAACCACTGGCTTTCTAAAAGATATGAAAATGTTGGATCTGCTCACAAACTCCATCCATCACTATATTTTTTCAACCAAGCCCCTAATGATAATAAATTCCCTGGAGAAACAGCCAGGAAAGCCCAGGAAACCCACGTGCAAAACGGCCATTGTGGCTTTCCTTTGGGGAGTACTTTTAATAATAATAATAATAATGAATGTAAGATTAATGTTGGCCCAAAAGAATTCTCTCCTAAGGTAGCTGAGTGTGATTTATCTGTGAAAAACATTGTGCAGAACGGGAGCTATTCATCATACCATGGATGTGCGTGGCTGGATGGGAAAGGTCTGGCTGCTGGATTGGATGTTCCCTATGGAAAACAGGTCACAAGCCCACAGTTGTCTTCAGGGGTTTCAACCATGTCTGGGGGTTCTCCCACCCATCAATCCTCTTACTACTCACAGCTCCTACCTGTCCTCCCTCCCAGGAAAGATGGAAGGTTACAAATATCAAACGGTTTTTCTAATAACTTGGGGCTTTCTAATTTCACCTCAGAAAACCAGAAGCAAGTGAAACCCGTCGGGCAATCCCAGCAGGATTCATTGACTAATAAGGAGGGGCCGTACCATAAATTCCCTGTTAACTCCTCATCTGACTGGGTGATGCAGCAGAAGGCTGTAAGTGAAGACCCTGAGAAATACCACAGGTTTCCAAAAAAGCAGACCCAGGAAAACTGCAATAAAGACGACAGAAGAGGCAGAAGGAATTGGATTCCTCATTTGGGATGTACCGCCCCAAACCGCCCTCCCTTCAATATGTTCCCAAAAAGGCACGGTGAGAACGGTGGCAGCCTGTCAGACTTCATCAACCCTTCTTTTCTTCCTTCTTTCCCGTTAGTGTCTGATTTTAAGCAGAATCCCAGCCTGCCTCTGTTTAATCACCATCTGCTTTCATCAGCAAATAATTTGGGTTTTCCCCCGTCGCCCTTCCCCTTCTCGGAACTCGTTGACCTTTTTCACTGCGACGACTTTAACCCCCTGAGCCCCTTCCTCAACGACCTGTTCTGTGGGGAAGTGGCTGCACCCTACTTGGCCTTCCCACCCCCGTTCAACAAGTACAGACCCCCAAGGAACCGCAGTGGACCCGCTAATGAGCTTCACATCCGACTGGAGGAGTGTTACGAGCAGTGGAGAGCTTTGGAGAAGGAGAGAAAGAAGGTAAACCCCAACAGATCATATTTCTGAGAAGAACTTGACTGGTTTTAAATCATATTGAAGAGAGAGAAAACTTAGGGTTTCTTCTTCGGTTGGCTTTTTTTGTTTGGTTGGTTGGTTTTGTTTTGTTTTATTGATTTGTTTTGGCTTTGTGTTGTTTTGGGTTTTTTTGCTGTCAGTGTTCATAGAATCATAGAATCAACTGGGTTGGAAGGGACCTCCAAGATCATCAAGTCCAACCCTTGATCCACTACCACCATGGTTCCCAGCCCATGGCACTGATGCCACATCCAGTCTCTTTTTAAAAATCTCCAGGAATGGAGAATCCACTACTTCCCTGGGCAATGTCTGATCACCCTCTCTGTAAAGAAATTCTTTCTAATATCTAACCTAAACCTCCCCTGGCACAACTTGAGACCATGTTGTACTTGTGTCTTTCCCTTTTGGTTTCTTATTTTACTAAATCTTTGGGTTTAGTAATATAGAAAATTAAGCAACTAATCCTGGGCAAACCTACAGTGTCTTGAGTGGATGTGCCCTCTCCCAAAGGAAATTGCACAATTTATATTCTTATTACAATCACTGTCCTGCCTCAAATGCTCTTGCTAAGAACTGTTGTCAGGGAGGGATCACGCTGCTGATAAGTGGGAATGATAAAGGAGCAGGAGGTGCTTTGCCAAGAGGAGTCAGATCTCTGAATTCCATGCCAGACATCAGAAATTAAATTGTCAGTAATCCCTGTCCTAATTGTACACTGAGCCTGGCTATTTCTTCCACTTTGGAGAAGACTCCTGGTCTGATAAGGAGACAGATGTCTGACCAAACTGGACCTCTGGAGAGCACCTTTTTCTTTCCCACATCAATTGTGGGACCTTGCTAATGGACTTTTGGAGGTGTAAGTAGAACTGCTTGTGTTGTTCTCTCATGGATGCCCCTAAACAAGACTCCTCTCTGCCTGTCTGGTCTTCTAGGAATTCTCTACAAGTGGGAAAGGGTGATGGTGATTCCTGCTCCAGGGTTTTTGTTGTGGTAGAGAAGGCTGTTCCAAACCTGCTCAGGCACGATTTGTGTCAATTAAGTCATTTGGGAAGACCAAATCATAGTTTTTCTCTCTTATTTTTTTATTTTATGATTAAAGAAAGATTGTTTATCCTCATACCACATGCTTAATAATCAGATGGATTTAACTGACTCGCTTGATCTGGTCTGTTCCATGAGATCCAGTTTTATCCTAATGATCTGCTTGGGGTTTCTCAGTCCTTTCTGTAGTTACACACTCCACCTGCAGACACCTTTATTTTACCTTTATTATGTTTGAGGTTGCCTGCACTATTAAATGTGCAGGTCAATTAGTTAGTTACTTATTAGTTGTGATTCTTAAATACCTGGTGGTGTTATATGAATCCATGACTCTTTTCTCATCTGCTTTTTTTCTGGATGCCTTTCAGGCTTCTCAGATGAGAGGAGGTGGATCAGTGAGCTCTTGTAATCCATGTTAGGTGAGGGCAGAGACTAAATAATATAGAAGTGTCAGTAAAGCAAAGGGCTTCAGCACATATTTGCAGTGGGAATGTACATAGTGGGAATGTGGACTTAACCTTGCCTTGAACTGCAGGGTGGCACCTGGGCCCTCTCTCCTGTATCCACTGTACACTGAAGAAGAAATGAGACAGGGAATCTACTGTGGTTGTATCTTTTTTACTCCAAGTGTAAAAAATTCCTCTCCAAAAATAGGTTTGGTGATGTTTAGTCGCTGTCTGTGTTATAGAAGTGGTTTGCCCAGTGTCTTTCTCAACAGGGAGTTTGGCAGCTGTATTAATAATTTTTCAGAGCTGATATAAGTTTGTTAAATCTGACTTAATCCTGATGAGCTTTAGATACAATTTATGCTGCTGTGATCACCTGTTCCTTTGTTTTAATAATCACAGTATGTGACATTTGAGAGATGCAGTGAGAGCCACTGAGTTTAAATTCACAGAATTGCAGAATCAGTAAGGCTGGAAAAGACCTTTAAGATCATCAAGTCCAACCATCAATCAGCACCACGATGTTCACCACTAAACCACGTCCTCAAGTGCCTGTTCCTTGGGTACTGCACAAGAATTTCTTTGCCTGGGTCTGTGTCCAAGATTGGTTGAAATAAAGTTGGGCAGGTTTGGTTCTCACTTCCCAGGAAAGCACATATCCAGCTCAGATAACATCTCTGTGGCCTGACTCCCATTGAGGGAGAGCTGAATTAGGGAGGCATTCCTGCAAGGAAGCTGGAGAGGGACTTTGGACAAGGGGTGGAGTGATGGGACAAGAGGTAATGGCTTTAAACTGAAAGAGGGCAGGATTAGATTAGATTTAGGAAGACATTCTTGGCTGTGAGGGTGGAGAGGCTCTGGCACAGGTTGCCCAGAGAAGCTGTGGCTGCTCCATCCCTGCAAGTGTCCAAGGCCAGGTTGAAGCAACCTGGGCTAGTGGAAGGTGTCCCTGCCCATGGCAGGGGGTGGAACTGCATAATCATTATGATCCCTTCCAACCCAAACCATTCTAAGGTTCTAGGATACTTGAAAACATTTTCCAGTCAATGCAGTCAAAAGCAAAGATGGGAAGTGCACTTCCAATGTACTCGATCATTCTAAACACCCCCCAAAATGGATTGTCATACTGTACTGATTTCAAACATTTACACTTTGGTATTCATTTTCCTTTCAGACTGAAGCTGACCTTGCAAGACACTTCCCAGGAAAGTGCACATCCAGCTCCAACAACACCCCTGTGTCCCGACTCCCTGCCAACCCATCCCGGGTGGATCGTTTGATCGTCGACCAGTCGCGGGAACAAGCCAGGGTGGGCCTTGCAATTCCTGCACTTCTTCGGGAGGGGGTTATATTTGTTCTAAGGGAGGCTTTTTTTATAAAGACTTAACGGTTTTTGGTGTTTCCTGGCAGGTGGTCACGCTGATAGGAACGATGGAGAGGCTTCGTGGTGCCCCCGTGCACAGGAACATCTCCACGACCTTGGAGCACCACATGGAAGCCATCCATGGGACACGGGCCCGTCGGAAGGATGAGATTGTTAATGCTGCTAATCCCCAGAGACATGGAGTGCCACGCTCTAGCCACGAGAAAGGTACCTGCTCCTCATCCCTGGAGTCCAAAAAAAAGCTTTGGCAGAGATTTAATTGTGAATATACTCAATTTTAAAACATGCCAGTCTGGAATACGCAGCAATTCTCGCCACTCCAGCAAAAGAAAATTTGTAAACACACACTTGTTACTTTTTGAGTTACTTTGAGATCTATTACATTTTTTTTGATTTTTCTGTTACTAGTTTAAACACTTCGAAACATTTTCCTCTTGACTAAGAGAACTGTAAAAACTATTCAGTGATATTATACAACCATACAACTATCCTAAAAGTAAAAATATACTTGTTTTTAAGCAAGTAGAATTAATTAAAAAAATAAATTTGCTGGGGTTGTGTTAATTAATTACATCTGTCTACCTTATCTAAATCACGAATACACCAGAAATTACATTCCAAATTCTGTTGAAGTAAAGCCAGAGGAACCTGTAGCAGGAGTAATAGAGGTGATACATGTAGGAATCTAGGGTTTGGGGGGTAAAGATAATTTTATTTTTCTTCAGAAAATGATTTCCAAAGAGGGGTTGCACTTCCTGCTGCTGCAGTGGGGAGGACAGAGAGGTTCCTTTTGGCTTCCAGCAAAGGATAGTTCTTCCTTGTTAGAAGGGAGAGATAAACTGTAAAGAGAGTCAAAATGTTTTTCTTTAGCAATTCAGGTGTCAAGCATGATGCCAAATCCTTTAAATAATAGTTCTATATGCAAACTGAGTCCTGAAATAACTCCTAAAATTGTGTCATGTGACATTAACCCCCAGCATAAGTCAGGAGTAGTAGAAGGAAGGTTCTTGGCCAGGCATAAGAAGTAGGACACGGTGGTTATGTGGATGATTATGGTTAGATTTATTACCAATACAGTCTCTAAATAACAGCTCTGTCATCTGTTACAGTGGATTGTTGTATCATCAGGTCCTGGTCCCTCTTGTTGACTCACAAATTTTGAGACCCCCTCACTTCCTAAACTTCCTAGAGAAGTTCCAAGTGCAACTTGATCCACTTAGTCCCAGATCTGGTCAACAATCAGTGTCTAAAGAGTTAAAATATCAGCAGTTCTGGGTAGAAACGTGCAGGTTTAATGCCTGGCCTTGCACAACTCCCAGTTACAAAGCAACAAATCACCTGTGGAGCTACTTTAGGATTTTATCTCCACATTTGACTGGATCTCAGCGCTTTTATTGACCCATCCCAAAATGAATGTTCCTGCTCTTTGGGATGGTCCTTCCGTGCCGGGGTGTGGGGGGAATCTACCCAGAAACTGCCTGCAACCAACCAGTTGGCCCAGTCTCCACCAGCACTTTAGACCCTTTTTTGCACAGACATGATGAGTGTGAGATGTTGTTGTCCTTTGGCAGAGATGAACCGCAACTGATGAGGTTCAACCAACGCAGCTCGGCTGTTTCTTGACCACACTTAAGGAGATGAGCCCAACCATTTTTTGTTGTTTTTAACATTTCCAGGCTTGCACACTGATTTAAGATGTTTTTTTCTGTTGCAGATGTCCTGGCTCTGGCAGCTGCCATCAGGGCTCTGGCTGGTGCCACGCGCCGGGCTCGCACCGCGCTCTGGTGCGCGGCACAGATGACTTTGCCCAAAAAAACCCCTCCTGCTAAACCAGAGAAACAAGGAGCTGTTCAAAGGGCATTGCAGGAGCTTTCTCCTCCAGGCACAAGCACACAAGGAAAAAGCAACGTGGAGCAAGGAAAGCCCGAGGAACCCGCGAGGATTTTGGAATAACGGGGAACAACAGCGGCGACAAAAGGGGGAGAGGTTGAGGATGGGGGGGAGGGAAGGACTCAGGGTCCTGCACAGCACCCTGGGAGGGAGTTTTGGTGGGATGTGAGAAAGCAAAAGGGTTAATTCACGTGCCTGGTCAGTGCTGCAGTTCTGTTACTGTGATTCTGGTGTTGGGAGACACTTCTCGTTGCAGTGTTAATGCAGTTTTAATATCGCCGGTATCGCAGTAAGGATTTTGATGATAAGAGGAACTAAACAATAGCTGAGCATTCCCTTGTGTGCTTTTCCAAAGCTCTGTGAGTCTCAGTCACCTGAGAAACCAGAGAGTGTGGTAGAACTTAATTCTCCATTTTTTTTGTTGATGAGATAATTTAGCACATTTAAAGGTACTTAATAATTATTCAGGGCTTCGTGGGGTTTTTTTGCACCATAATATAGTTCTTCTAAGAGCCAAAGTGATCATTGAGTAGTTTGCATCCCATCGCTCTGCCAGGAGGAATCCACACTCCTGTGTTTTTGGGAATCAGGTCATGCAGGTTATCACTAATTCTGACAAGAAGTAATCAGTGTTTAACGTTGGTTGTGTGAGATGCTTCAGCAGTTGTGCTGCCAGCTCAGTTTCTGGCAAAACCAGTGTGAACTGAGCTTTCCCACAGCACAGTCCACTTCAATATTTCCATTAAAAAATGATTTTGTAGCCTTGCAGTGTGTACTGCGTTGGAGTACACGTCAGCAGGTGATAGAAAAACTGTCACTCAGGATTAGAAATTAGATTTATTGGCTCCTCAGTGGGTTAAAAACCAGTAACTGTATAACATAGTATGCACTTATATTAATAACAAACAATAATTTTGTAATTAAGTTCATGGTACTATAATTTTTTTTTTTCAGACACATTCCATATTTATTTTAATGTGTTCATTGAATGTTTATTTAAAATTCTATTTTAGTAATATAAAGTTTAAATATTTTGCCAAATCTTCTGAATAATCAGATCTAACGATTTACTCAGGAACTCTGTATATTATTATATAAATATTCACATGATATTTAGGGATTTTTTTTTTTTTTTTGGTGAAGGGATGTTTGCAAAATATTTACACAGAGCTAACTATGTACTAGGTTACCAAAGCTGTTTAACTGATTATTTTTGGGTGTGAAAGACTTAATATATTTAATTGCTGTTAACTTAGTCTCCGTTCTGTGGCTTAGACAATCAAGAGTATGGATGTTCAGAGTGAGAATTAGCAAAGAATGAGTAATTCCAGGTGTGTTCTTAGGGCATTTAGGAATATTTTAAATACTTTAACTTACTGTTACACTGTCTCTTAACATGTACTAATAATCAATTAAGGCTCTTAAGTATCAGTATATATGGTTTGGAGAGCAGTTCTTATTTTAAAATTGAATTAAGTTGGTGATATAAGTGAAGTTTGAAAGGCAAAAATGAAGATTTTTATGTTGCATAGTGTTCAATGTGGAATTTGACGTTTTGTGGACGATTAGAGAGCTGTTTCCATATCTATGTACTTGCAAAACGTTCCAAATGTGTAGTTTTGCCTCCGTGGATGTTCCTAGAGCAGATTTTGTCTCGATAGTGCCATCCTTAAAACTCTATTGAGGCAGTAGCGTGGAAACTTGTAGCAAAAATTCACACATTGTAATCCACTGAGCAAAGTTTAAAAGCAAAAGTAGGTAGAAATCAGATTCTTAGTGTAGCGAGATTATGTTTAGGTTTTTTTCCCTCTACAAAAAGTGAATTCAACTTAAAAGAACATTTTTTTTTTTCAGCCTTAGCCTAAAAAACAGTTAACAGTTATTTGAGTGTGAGTGTTTTCTCTGTGTGCACATGCAGTTTATTTGCACAGACTTAATTTAACAAGGTCAGATTTGTGTTTGTGAAACTAAATAACCCACACAGCTGACAAGTGGAGCTTGCAGTATTTCAGTTCGTGGATGATTTTGTGGTTTAATTACCATTGCTGTGGTGACAGGAAATCAGGCTTTGCAAGCCTGGGTCAGCTTTTTCTGTTTACAGAACACTTGTAGGGTGGTTTTGTGGTGAATGTATAGGGCATAGTGGGTCCTTATTGTATTATTAGTGTTAATTAATGTTGTGAAGGAACGTGGTCTTAATTGGTTCATAGTTAATGTGCCTTTAACAGCCTCGTTTTCCCAAAGTGATAAACAGCTGCTTTTTTTTTTCAATTACAGTTAAAAAAACGCGTTTTAAAGGGTTCCAGCGTGGCTGCACTGGACTCCAATTAACACCCACTGTTAATTATGGTAATTGCACTCATTAGACTGGCCAGTCTGGGGCTCTTTAAGTGGCTGTGGAACGTTGTCACCTCAGGTCTCGTGTGCCAGTGTCAGATGTTCCTTGTCATGCCCTACAAATCCCCCCAGCTCCACACGCTCGGATTTCACTTTGCCTCGCTCTGTTTTCTTCAGAAAAACTCCAGGTCTTCACCTAAAAATGACTTTTTGTGCCCATTTCTTTAACTGATTTGCTTATGGGCAGCATCAGCCCCAGACTTACCTTCAGTTCTCATGTCAGGACGCTTCAGTTCTGTTGCTTTATTACTCCCCCTTTCGTATTTTAGGGGGAAAACCCGCTGTATTTTGTGAAACAACACCTGGAGTTGCAGCAGCTCTGTTGTTCACCACGTTGTTTTTGCTGCCTGGTGGTTAATTTGTCAACAGGGTACGAATTCTGTAAGTCTTGCACTGAATTTTTGGTATGAATAAGTACCAGTGTAACGCTTGTGGCTTTAGGAGCTAATTGTTACTGACTTCAAGGGAAGCAGGGTTGAGGTTTTAGGTTACACTTAAGCCAGGGAGGTGGTTTTGATTTGGAGTTAGGTTTGATTTTTTTGGAGAGGAGAAAAAAAAATCCTCCTTTCCCTCCCCATTTTGAGAAGCAATCAGGTAAAACTTAGTTTATTCCCTTTTCCATTGTCACCTACTCCACCCCTCTCAGCTTTCTCGAGATTTAATTCTTTGAGGTTTTTCTCCTGTTTCAATTTATACAGTTTAAACTTTTAGATGAGGTGAAGAGTTGCAGCCAGTCCTGGGAGCAGTGATTGCTCCAGTTTAAGCAAACAGGTCCCTTCTTAAGTCAGGACTATTATCAGTGTGTGATTTGATAGTTCATAGCAAATCTTTAATGCTTTAAAAATCCCAAATCTATAGTCCTGTACAACACAGACTTAAGAATTGCGATTATTTATTTATTTATAAATAACTGGAGGCTTCTGATGATCCAATCTTATTAAGTCCCAGAAGAGAGGCCACAGCAGGGGAAGAACTGAGATTTTTTTTTTTTTTTCTGGTTATGGGTTTTGTATCTCTGTTTTTCTTCTGTACCCACAGGGTCCCCCTGGCAGTTAAATTACTTTGATGGTATTTTTAGAAAGTAAACCCCAAGAATTGGTATTAATTTGTTATTTTCTTTAGAGCAGCATGAAGGGAAGTTATTTAAGTTCATGATGCTTGTCTTGCTGTGGCCTTTTCAGGAGTGTGTGAGACTTAGTTCTTGAACTGCTGCTGTTGGATTTTTTCCTTCCACACTGAATATTCTTTGCTGGTGGCATTTAGAACCACTACCAATCCTTTTTGTCTGTACCTGGATAGGTGTAAATTGGGAATTATTTGCCTTTGGGCTTGGAAACTGCTGCTCTAGTTCATGAGAAGTCTCTTATGATTGTTCCTGGCACCTTTTTTCCTTTGGTGAAATAAATGGTTTAAGGTGGAGATCATGCAAGTGGGAGGCTTTGCTGAGGTAGTTGCCTTTTCAGAGAAGTGTGGGGATACTCCAGGTTTTTGTGGGAAGCTCCCTGGCTTTCCTGTGCACTTTTCCAGAGGTGCCATGAGCACAACAACTTCCTGGGACTGTGTTTGATCTGCAACCCTGGCCACCTCCCTTTCTGTTTGGGGATACAAAGGGGGGGAAAGGGGAGCTCCAAGAAGGAAGGAAACACTGGGAATCTTAATTCCACTGGGGAGAGTCACTCCTCTGTGTGACTCCTGTGGCCAGAAGGGTGTGAGGGGCTGGGAATCTGCCTTTGCTTAAACCAGGATTCCCTTTTCCCATGTGCTACTGAGACCTGTGGCAGAGTTGGCTCGTTCCTGTCCCGCTCTGGAAGTCATCCTTCCACCTCTGTGTGTTTTAATCACGTGGAATTAAACTGTGTCCCAGCCTGAGGGGACTGGGAGAGGGCTTGGGAACAGCAGGTTCAAGCTGAGGGGTCTGGTGCTCCCTCTGGGATCAGGATCATCACCTCTCCCAGCTGCTTCTGGCAGGGGGAGAGAACGAGGTAGGATTTAAGCTCAGCTTTTCTAGGCTTAGCACTCCTTGCCTTTTGTCATTTTCTGAGCACAAAATCTGTTTGTTTGGGGGTTAAATCTGTTCTTCCTTCAGTGACAACACCCAGCTTTGCTCAGTGGGATGCTCACAGATAATGACTCAATGACTTCATAAGTCAGAGCTCTTAATTCTGTAGAAAGCTGGATTTTTTTTTTTGTTTAAATGCTGTAAAGATTATGCAACAAACAGACCTTAAGCCTGTATGTCTATTTTTTTAAAACTCTATTTTTACCTGCCCTGGAAGCTGGTGGGGTTTTTTTGGTCCCTTTGTTTGGGAGCTGCAATGTCAAAATGCTGCACTTTGGCACAACCCAAAGCAGTGGGTTTGGGGATTTTGTTCTTTATATCTTTTATTTCTTTGGCATGTTCGCAGCTGTAAAACAAATTTTAAATTCTTTATGGCCACAGTCTTCTCCAGGTTTATTTATTCTTCCTAACAGGAGTCATCAAAGTGGAAGGACTTGAGTTGCTGATGGTTTAATCCTTCATGTTTGTTGTGTTGAACGGGGGAAGGGGACACTTCACATCAGTCAATATGTGGGCACAGTTGACTTTGGAATGTATATTTTAAATGTAATTTTTAGATATTTAGGCTGAGTGTGGTCCTACTTCCATTGGAGCCACAGCTTTAAGAGATTTCTGGCCTGGTCTGGCTTTGCTGCTTCACTGGTTGAACCTCCAGTTAAGCAGCTCTTTGCAAACCCCAGCTTAGCAGTTCACCTTCAACCTTTGTTATCCAGAAACTCCAGAAGGATGAGTTCCCAACCTTTTTCTTTTTGTGAGCTTTCTCACTCCTTGGAATTAGCCAGGATAACGTTGGACCTACTGCAGAAATTGGGGCCAAACTGGGGGATTTCTGGAAGTTTTTGCACCTTGTTTTATCCTGTCCTGCTTTGAGGGAAACAGAGCCTGAACCATGTTAAGACTTTGATTTGTTTCCCGTGCAGTTTATCCATGGCAGTCACCAGCACTTTTTTGATTTGTGGAACTTGATATGTCTGATTTTTATCTGGTTTTTTTGCTTTTTTTGGTAGATACTGATTTGTAACTTTTTTTCAATAAAATAATGACTTTGCCAATCAATTCCCTGAGCTATATGGAGTGAAAAGTCCTTATTTTTCTTCATTAGCAATACTGTAATCAAAGGTGCAAAAAAAAAAAAATTGTTTAATGTGTCTGTGCTGTCAGAGATTGAAAATGTATCAGGTTAGAGCAACTTTTAAACCAGGTGATGAACTGGAGCTATAAATCCTCTTTGCTTGTTGCCAAATGGGCTTTAAAAAGGAAAATATTTGCTTGTAGTGCATTACAAAAGTTTGTTAGAGAGAATAAATCAAAGATCATTGCCAGACAAAGATTGCTTCACATTTTTTTACTGTATGAAATACAACTTGTTTATGCACAGTAATAATGAGCATAGTTGGTTTTTTTTCACAGAATGAGGCTATTTCCAGTATATAGATGGGAAAAATAAGTTTCCTTTTATTTTTTATGAAAGATATACAAAGATTAATAGCATCTATATTTTAATAAACTGTTTGGTGTCCAAAATGTATCTTTTACATGTCTGTTGGTCCAACTCATTTGTTTAAACAAGCTAATTTTACACTGCTGGTGAAATATTCCTGAAGGAGATTTTTTGGATTGGTCCACAGTCAGTTGGCCCAACAGAAAGATGTCAAATTATAATTTAGCTTTAAAGAAAAAAAAAAAAGTTGATTAATCAGTTTAAGCTTCTTTTAAGTATTTCTGTAAAACAACTGTGGGCGTTTGAACGCTGCAAATATCTTACTTCTACCTCTTGTGTAACATCCTTAAAAAAATAATCCTTCACAGATATGCTTTGGTATCACAGGGTGTTGGTTCACCTTAATTTGGGAATTTCATCTGCTTTTCCTTTTTTTTTTTTTTTTTCCCTCCTGTGGAACACCAGGATGCCTTGTGATGTCCACCTGTGTTAAGGAGCTTCAGCAAAGTGTGCACATTCACATGGTTTTTTATTAAAGGCCCAAGGGTCAAAAGACGTGATTAAATTTGTGTTATGTGTGTGGAAGTCTCAGAAATTGGAGAATTCTGTAATAATAAATCATGGCCAGCATAATTTTTCTGTTTGGTTGTTTTTTGGGGTTTTTTTGGTATGTGATCTGATTCTTCTTTTATTTAAATAATCACCTGTGTTGTGTGTATGTCCTTAATAAACAGTGACAGCTTTAGTTCAACCCTCACTATTTCTCAGCTGCTTTTCTCCCCGGGAGATGAATTTGAGTTGGTAATTCTTCCTTGTTATGTGTTCAGTTCCAAAAATGACAGTTCTTTGTGTTTTATGTGACTGATTTGATTCCTTTAATTCTGCAGAAGAAGAAAGGGGCAGTTTTGGTTGGTGGTTGTCGAACTTGGGGCTGAGGAACCTCTTTTACTCTGAAGGTGAGAGCACACAGAAAATGTGGATTTGCATCAAGTAGTTGAGAATAAAGGACAGCCTTTAGTAAGGACTTCATGGAGTGTTACTGAGGGGAATCATGGATTGTTGGAATGACCTGTTGGAGCAGGTCCAGAGGAGACCAAGGAGATGCTCCAAGGGCTGGAGCCCCTCTGCTCTGGAGCCAGGCTGGGAGAGCTGAGGGGGGTCACCTGGAGAAGAGAAGGATCCAGGGAGAGCTGAGAGCCCCTTCCAGGGCCTAAAGGGGCTCCAGGAGAGCTGGAGAGGGACTGGAGACAAGGGATGGAGGGACAGGACACAGGGAATGGCTTTAAACTGCCAGAGAGCAGGGTTAGATGGGATATTGGGAATGAATTCTTCCCTGTGAGGGTGGGAAGACCCTGGCACAGGTTGCCCAGAGAAGCTGTGGCTGCCCCTGGATCCTTGGAAGTTTCCAAGGCCAGGTTGGATGGGGCTTGGAGCAACCTGGGCTAGTGGAAGGTGTCCCTGCCCATGGCAGGGTGTGGAAGGAGATGATCCTGAAGTTCTCTTCCAGCCCAACCCATCCTGGGATTCTCTAATTCCTTTATACTGAATGTCCTAAAAGACGATGAGCTTTGCAAACCACTGACAGGCAGAGCTCCATTCCCTTCTCCCTTGCTCAGTGAGATGAATTTGGGCAAATTTCAGTTACTTGGAAACCCTTTATAGCGTGGATTTGTGTGTAATAGCACTTTACTCACTTCATATCCTTGAGGGAGGTTCCTCTGGTGACACAGATCTGCAGTGCCAGCCTGGCAGGGGCTGGGATTGCACTTGTTTTCCAGGACCAGATGGAGCACAAACTGCCAATCCCTGTTGTTACTTACACTGTCCATGGAATTAATCCCATCCTGCACAGTTTGTGAACGTGTTTCTGGGCACAAGTCAAACACTGCACAGGTGATACCAGGATTGGGCTGGTTTGTCCTGTGGGGTTGAGTGTGACATTTCAAACCTCACAGGGGGAAAAACTTCACTTGGTTTAGAGTTTAAATTTCTTAAGCATTTTCTTTCCTTGTGACATGCAGGGGAAAAAAGAATTTACGCTCTTGTTTTTCATTAATGGAAAACACGAAAACTTTCACAGTGCTGTAAATAACTTAAAGCTGTAATTTCTATATTCAGCTGACCTATACATGTCCAATACCTCAAATTACCTATTCTGAGCAGGTTTCTATTGTTGTTGCTGTTTATACACCGGTTTTATAAATTAATTTTGGAGACACTGCAAGAAGCCTCCTCTCTTTTTCCTCCTTTTCCACAGAGAAGGGGATTTCCAAAGCAAGATGAATAGAGAAACATCCCCCTGCTGACTGGTATCTCTGCTCTTATTTAACTGCTGCTTGGTTGCTTTGATACTGGTTCCAAAACACCTGTAATGGAATAGTTGCAACTATTTTAGTAGAACTATGCTGGCAGCCTGCCTGTGGAGATACTTTGGAAAACAGTCCCAGGGGAAGATTTTCCTGCCAAATTAATCTGATAATGGTCGGTATCTTATGTTGATTTTTTTTTTTAAATAATGTTAATTGAAAGCAACTTAAATACACGTTTGTTTGATAGGCTGATGTTTGGGAAGCTGTGAAATTTGGTTGTGCTGTTCTGATTTGAATAATAATCCCATATAAAAATGAAACCACCATGTTTTCACAGTGCTAAATCACTCCACTTTCTGAGGAGACCTCTGATTTGGAGCTGAGGAATCATGTTATTTAGGTACATATATATATATATATATGTACTCAAGAGTGTTGGGTTGCAAAAGATGCACAGTGAATTTGGATAAATAAAAAAAAATACTTTCTGCTATTGCTTGTGGGGCAGAATTCCCAGATCCTTGTGCCTTGGCTAAGTTATTACTGGAGGAGCTATGAGGGCATTCTGACTTTGAGAGAATTTATGACATAAAGCTTTAACTTGGCTGATAAACTGTTAGTTTGAGGGATGTAGATGAGTTTTGGAGCTATGAGAAGTTGCTTGGTTGTATCATGGAATGGTTTGGGTTGGAAGGGACCTTAAAGATCATCCAGTCCCACCCCCTGCCATGGGCAGGGACACCTTCCACTAGCCCAGGTTGCTCCAACCTGACCTTGGACACTTCCAGGGATCCAGGGGCAACCACAGCTTCTCTGGGCAACCTGTGCCAGGGCCTCCCCACACTCCCAGGGAGGAATTTCTTCCTCATGTCTGATCTAAATCTGCCCTCTGTCAATTTAAATTTATTCCTCTTTGTCCCATCAGTCCCTGCCCTTGTAAAAAGTCCCTCTCTCAGGTCTTATCCCCTGTGTTTATCCATGAACAGCCCTCGGGAATGGTGTCCTTTATTGTTTGTGCTACTGTTGCTGCCCAAACAGTTCAGAGTTAGTCCAGCTCAGCTGAGACCACTGTTAAGCAGGAGAGAATTATTTTCCCTCTGTTCAGCAGGGGCATCATTTATCAGTAAGTGAAGTTACACTCCATTTTAAGCAGAAACACTTCAAAACTCAGTCCAGTTATTCAGAACTGTGCAGAAGAGCTGGGGATGGGGAGGTGTGTGAGTGAAGGCTTTCCTGGATACTTAATTACTTTGTAAATTATTGACTTGGGCTCCAGCTCAGGAGAATTTAAGCACTGAATTCTATTGTGATCTGGAAAGAAATTGCTTTACTAGGATTAAAAATCCTTTGTGCAGACACTTTGAGTGTGGATGTGCATCCTGTTGGGACACAATCACACGTTAAACCTCTGTAAGTGCCACTGACTACAACCAGTAGTTGTACAGATAATTGTATAAATGTCATTAAAAGAATAAGTCTCTTTCAGAAGAGCACACTTGAATAAAAACTTTGGTCCTTGCTCCTTCTTTCCTGATGGACCTTTGCTGCCTTCCAGAGAGCAATAAAAAAAAAAAAAAATCCCAAACTAATTACTTATACCTTGAAACAATTTAAAAATAATTCAAGGTAATTTTCATACCAATAAAATATTTAAGATAGCTTTATTTATAAAAATAGCCTGGTTGTCACCCTTTGATCTAAATCTTCCCTGTTGTATCAGCTCTTGATAACCACTTTTCTTAATCCAGAGCCGAGAATGCCACGTGTGTGTCTGACTCAGCCTTTGACAGAGGCTGGATTGCACTTGGATAACTCACTGTTGGAAGAATTTGGAGGTTAACATCAGTATTGGCTTCTCCAGCATGTCCAAAGTGAGTAATGCACATGCACTCCATTAGGAATTCCCTGGAAAGCAGGGCTGGCCTCACCCAATAATAATGTGGCCATGGAAGCTTTATTTTTGGGTGAAGCATTCATTGTCCTGGGGCATTTTTGGGTAAAGCATTTGTGGTCCTGGGGCAGGGAGGATGCCCAGGAAGAGGGGCAGTGGTGTCTCTGCCCGTGGTGATGTGGGAGGTGGGTGAACTGGAGGGGCAGAGGAAAGGCTGAGGTGACACTCCAGCCTTTGACCTGTCCAGAGCAGGGACTGTGGGCACTGGGACGAGCTGAGTCACTTGGGATGAGGGAACAAGACAATTTTATCAATGCTGACACCTCTTCCTTAACTGAGAGCAGAGAGGAGGTTGATGTGGGTGACTATGGAGTGGCTGCCTGATCCCAGCGATGTCTGTGGTGCTGCTAAAGCACTTAAAATAGACACTGTGTCGGGGTAACTCTCTGAAATGGATTAAAGTTCTTGTGTAAAAGATGTTTCACGAGGCAAATCAGGCTTCTTCTGGTGTCCTGCTGTTGGCTGAGTATTTGGACAGGGTGTGGAGCAACCTGGGCTAGTGGGAGGTGTCCCTGCCCATGGCAGCGGGTGGAACAAGATCCCCTTCAAGGTTCCTTCACACCCAAACCATTCCATGATTCTATGATTCTCTCTCTATATATATATATATTTTTTTTTTTTGTAATAGAACTATTTCTGAGCCCAACCCAACCTGGCCTTGCAAGTTTCCAGGGATGGGGAGTCCACAACTTTTCTGGACTTTTTTCTACAGCGTGGGATTTTCTTCTGTGGCAATTCAAGTGCCCTCAGTGGAAAAGGAATTGTAAATCCCCTGTGTGTGCCTCTGTCAGCAGGATGTTTTATTTCATCTAAAGAATAAATCCATGGAGAAATTAATTCTTGGAGCAGGGCAGTTTTTCCCTGTATGTCAAGGGTGACCCACCTAATACTCAAGAAGCTTTCCTGGATGGAGTAAAAGGGGGGATCTTCAAGGAACATATTCCAAGAGGGGAAAACTGGTAATGATTTACCTAAAAGAGGGTAGATATTAAGAAGAATTTTTTTTACAATGAAAGTGGTTGAATATTCAGTAAAGCAGGAGAGATGTTAAAATGATTGGGGTTTTTATTTTATTTTATTTTTATTTTTGTATCCTTCAAATCTGCTGCAACCAGGTGAGTATCGCAGTACCCTGTAAAAACAGGGTGAATATCTCTGTATCTAACAGGTAAGAAATTGGTTAGAAAGTACATAAAAAATGTTTTGAAATGGGTTGGAGCTCATGAACTCTTTTATAACACTTGTGATATTCCAGATGATGGGGAGACCTGAGGTGACATTAATAATGAAACTCCTGATGGTGGAAAACCAGTGAAAGGCAAATAAACTTCTGTCTTTAAAATGGTAAAAAAAGGAAAAGAATAGAAATTTGTAGTCCCAGAAAGGTGTTGGAATAAAAAGTAAAATTTACCTTGTAAACTCAGAAAAGATGCTGAAGAGAAGAGTCACAGCTGACCTGGTGGAGCTTTTTCCATGTCTCTGAATTCCCCAGTGCTGTAGGAAGAGAGGACACAAGTCAATGTGAGTAGAATTTGAAAAATAAAATAAACTTGGCACTCTTTTCTATGAGAGTCTTGTAGCCAGTTTGGGGTTGTGGTGTAGAACGGGTGCAGAGCTTTATTCACTGTAATTGTTGAGGATTTTGTGTCAAAATGGAAGGGTTGGTCAAGCAGAACCAAACAGGTTCTGCCCTCAGTGCACTGATCATATTTTTGCTGAAAACCTGATTTTAGCAGCATGTCCTGAGGCTCTGGTAAGTCAAGCTCAGAGTTCCACCAGCCCAAATTCATGAAAAAACTTTGGAAAAGTTAAAATCCCAGTCTAGGCCTCGATGCCAGCAGGGGAAGATGCTGCTCAGGTGCAGTTCTGTGAAGGGTTTGGGGATCACTGGGAAGCACGAGTGGGTTTGGGATCAACGACTCCCCAGCTGGTTTGAAACGGGCCAAAATCCACAGTGGGATGTACAAATGTCCAGAGGAATCCTTCTGATCTTCCTGGATAAGGCAGCAGCCAGAGGGTTTGGTTCTTTCTCAGGTATATGGAGTCAGTCCAGGTGGGAGAGATGGGAATAACCAGCGGGTCAGGAGCAGGTTGGGGACACTCAGAACAGAGACAAAGAGACAAGTGGAGAGGGTTTGGTGCTTCAAATGTCTCCAAGTGTCTTTGGACAAAATGGAATCCTGTTTGGGATATACAGGGTTAAAATGCAGGAGGGATTTTGCAGTGGAGGGATTTTGCAGTGGAGGGATTTTGCAG